ATGCTTATCCTGTCTATGCAAAATGTCAAATTTCTGTGCTATTGTAAGCTGTGAAAATAGGTTACAAAGAGATGAGAGAAACCATTACCGTTTACTGGCCATTATCATTAACCATGGATAGAAAAAAAGTAGAATTATCAAGACAATTTCAGAAAGAACTGTTGAGAATGAGGTTCACCTTGGGGATGACAAGGATGTATAAGGTTAGGAATGAGACCATCAGAGGTACAGCACAGGTAGAACAACAGGGAGATAAAGTTAGAGAAGTCGGACTGAGATGTTTGGACATGTCCAGAGGAGGGACAGTGGGTATATTGGTAGAAGGATGTTAGAAATGCAGCTGCCAGGGAAAAATACAAAGAGAAGATATATGGATGCAGTTAGAGAGGACATGGAAGTAGTTGGAGTAAGGACAGAGGATGCAGAGGACAGAGCGAGATGGAAGAGGATGACTTACTGTGGCAACCCCCCCAAAAAGAAATAGCTAAAAGAACGAGATAAGACAAAGATGATAATTGAGGTTGTCAAGAATCACAAGGTTGACACCTCAAGTTTGGTGTATAACGTTGATTACCAGTATGTCAAACCACACCTAAACTGCCAAAGTATATCCATCCATCCATTATCTCTACCCACTTCTTCCTTTTTTGGTCGAGGGGGTTACTGGTGCCCATATTCAGTAGTCACTGTGCGAGAGGTGGGGGACACTCTGGACAGGTATCCAGTCCATCACAGGGACATATAGAGACAAACAACCATTCTCTTTCTCACTCACACCTAGGGATAATTTAGAGTTACCAACCAGTCTAACATGCATGTTTTTGGTCTGTGGGAGGAAACCGGAGTACCCATAGAAAACCCACACATGCATGAAGAGAACATGCAAACTCCACCTAGAAAGGTCCCCAGCCAAGATCGAATTGGCGACCTTCTCACTGAGAGGCATCAGCTCTACCAACGGCACCACCATGCTATGAAGTGGCTTTACAAAGTTGAAATAGTTCTCGTCACTACTGCCCGTTTATCAAAGGACATGTCTGTGAAAGATTTTGATTCGACATGAGTCAATTCAAGAACAGATGTTTGATGAACAGCGCAAATTAGACCTAAATTGACATTTGGTATGCCTATCCCTTTAAAAACATTTCAACTTCTCTTAAAATACACTTGATTATCTTTTGATAACTGCATTTAAAAGTCATGTCTGATTTATGCCGTGCTATGATGTTGTATGACCTCTGCCTTGGCGATGAACATTCTTTCATCGACATCAGTGAAAGCATCTTGAAAGCTTTTCTTTATTGGTTTTTGACTTTAAAAAAAAAAACATTGGCAAACCAGTGCATTATTTCTACCTACTGAAATTTCACCCAACAGATTGTGCATGCTGACACAAATACCTTAGACCAGGGGTGTCAAACCCACTTACAAAAGGGGCCAAAATTAAAACCTCTTTCAAACTAAGAGCCAGTTTCAGAATCTACATGAACTCAAGTTAGATACTCAGCATCTTCTCTTGGTTGCAGTTTCCTCAACAAGAGTTTGATTGGTCTCATTTGATGTTCTCTGCTGTGCTTTCGACATCATAATCAAGGATTACTGAAAATATTCAAGAGATAGAAGTATTTGATGTTTCACATATCATCTTGGGGGCCAGATAAGTTGACATCGAGGGCCACATTTGGCCCTCGGGCCTTGAGTTTGACACATACGCCTTAGACACCCCAAACTTTTAAGAGTTGCGCTGTTTCAATGTGCAGAAATAGCAGTCAAGACTAATATTTTATCAATAGTTCAACCACTTCAAATCAACTTTCCTCTTGAAATGACGTCTTGTTTTTGGTGCAGTCAGTCCATGCTCACACAGATCCACATCATGCACGGGGAGAGCTGTGTTTGTTCCACTACACTGGAGTGGAGTGGGTGCCATAGCAGCAGTGCAGTGCAGCCAATGGATTATTCAGCTCCTTGCATTCCAACTGAAGGTTAAACCTCTCCCCAGCATGATTTAAGACGTACTTGTCTGTGTTGCTTATGAATTCCAGAGCCCGTGACGGCTGCCATGTGCTAGCAAAGGAAATATTTCAAATGCACGAGTCTGTGAGCATCTGCGAGTGCTTTTTGAGCTAACGTGTTGCTTTTCAGCCTTGAAAAAATATTTTCCGAGCATCAAGGGGGCGTCAGGTTTCAGGCGTCTCTTCAAGAACAAGAAGCACTTTCAAGATGAACAAGGAGGGATGGGACAAAGGTGCGATGAGACGGAAAGGCAGCAAAGGTTTATTGGCTTGTGTCACAAACCGATCTAGTGTTGAACTGGGGAGCGTGGAGGTTTGGGGGATTTCCGTACGGCTTTGGGAGCCATCTGTCAAAAATCCAAACCATTTCCTATCTCAGCTTCAACCCCTCCCCTCTTTCTCCGCCCCAACATCTGCTTTTCTTTCTGCTCATTTCTTGGACCCCATCCCCAAAGTTTTTTCAGTTACAGCATCTCTCACACACCCTTACCATTTTTTTATGGCTCAAACACCAGCAGCACGCCTAGCTTTCCTTAAAATTATGCACATCACCTGCCGCCTTTCATGCCAGAGTTTCAGACCATTTTGTGATGATGTAATGATGTTTTGTGAGAACCCATACAATAGTGCAAGTGGATGTTAGTGCTCAAAGTACTGTATGTGCTCACATTTACTCTTAGCTATTACCAGTTCGCACTTAAATGCTACAATTCCGTCTCGCATCACAAAGCAAAGTAGGGGAATTGGAAATACTGTCTGTCCGTCCATCTTGTAAGCTGGATTACTTCAAAAATAAGCAACTTGCCGACTTCCATTTTGGTCTCTGGCTACATCTAGGTGTAAGAACGTCATAGGGTTGCCACGTCAAAATCCAAGATGGCCACCTCCATACATATCTAAACTGACCACCCATATCATTTGAGGAAATTGTGCTTTCTAGTTTCTATATTTCTTAAAAACATAGTTACCTCAAATGATTAGGGTGGTCCTTGGGGTGGACAAAGATTAAGCTATGGTGGACCAAGGCCACCACTGGCCACCCCTTGGCTCTTTCATTGCACCTGGTATTGGCTAAAATACTCCCTCCCCTCACCAGGATCCATCACTCGGCACTGCCTGATGTAACTCATACCCACGTGATTATCTTGCACTATAAGCATTAAGGTTTACTTGCATTCTCTGTTCAATTCAAATCCCCCAAAATCTTGAAAAACATCTAAAAAACTACAAATAGTCACTATTCAAATTCCTCAGCAGATATTGGACATCTTGTTGATTGTTAAATTTGAGTAAGGTACTGCCATTTTATGTTGGCTATTGACAAAAAGCTGCAGGGACATTCAACGACAGCCCAAGGGTTTGAATAAAACAGGTGTAGTGGTTTATAAGATATTTTGCAAATGGACAATATATAATAGTTTCCTAAAAGTTTCTTTCAAATACATCCATAAGATATTTTGCTCACAGATAGACAAAGCTGACTCCAATGGTTAATGGCAACGTTGTAAAAACCAATGACATCATCAGCTGGTGCACAAAGTCTGTGTTGGGGATGAGTCTCAGCTACTCTCTCACCAAATTTCTGCTCAATATCGACGTTTGTTTGCTACATTTAATAAAAAGTTGCTGAGGTTTTAAAAGACAGACGAAAAGTTTCGAGACGCAACGTTTGCGTGTCCCACATTTCCCAGTTTCCTGTCGGTTAATCAGCAGATCCAAGAGTCGTTTATCACGCTGAGCACTGACAGACACTTCCTCTAATGCAAACTCAAAGTTTCCAATGCAATGCACTTTGTTAGCAGTAAAACAACCGATTGCTGTCAAATTTCTTGATGTTTTTCACCTGGAGGTGTATTTCTTGTCAGTTATAATGATTAAAGAGAAGACACCAGGCAAAGCAGATCTGTGGTTATCATTTTTAGGCATCAAAATTTGAAATATTTCTTAATTAATAAAAAGATACACCTAACTGTCTGAATAAAAACTACAACTAGAAAGTTACTGGAGAAACTTTGACTGCAACTCTCATGTTGCGGCCATTTTAAATGTTTGTTTTAACTGTACTATGTGTTGTTGGGCATTACACTCAGCACTTTTAGCTTTATATCTCTAAAAATGGCTGATTTGTAGTATTTTTCCTTTTTAGCTTAGGTGGCCATCTTGGATTTTTGACTTAAAACCATAGTCTATTGGGGTTGTTCTCAGCTACAAATACACCAAATTTCAGCGGAATAACTCAAAATCTCCAAGTTATAACCATATTAAAATAGATTTGAGGGCCATCTTGCATCTCTGTCAAGTACCACCACACCAAACTTCAGCTCAATATATTTTAAAATAGCTGAAGTATCTTTTTTCCCCCTTTAAGATAAGGTGGCCATCTTGGATTTATAATTTGCATAGGAGTGTATAACAACTCACTCAGCTATGACCACACCAAATTTCAGCTTATTATGTGAAAGAATAACAGAGTTATAGTGAATTTAGATTTTTCTGCATTAGCTGCGGCGGCCACCTTGATCCAAAATGGCTCCAAAACTTCGTGTTTTATTCAGACTTCTTCAATCCCAAGTCATGTGACCTCAGTGTGGCAATTAAAAGCCGTCAGGAGTTCTGTCAGTATTTTTCCCACTGAGAAAAATGGCATCATTGTTTGCAAATTATGTTGCCATGGTAACTCAAAATGCCAGTAAAAGTAATAGCACACATCACGGTGATGAGCCTGTCGTTTTGATATAAGATTTGTGGGAGTACACATTGCGGTTCGGGCCGCATTAAAGTTGATAGAAGCGCAAGACACATAGGTGGCTGCCTTTCTAGACAGTCCCCAATAAAGTTACGAAACCCTAGTCATGTGAATCAATAACAGGTGCTGCCTTATACTAGGCAGTCCCCAATAAATAAAAAAGCTAGATAAGATACAGCTGATATGGGAACCACTAATTTCACACGATTTATTTCCTTTTTTATTTTTTTTTGGCACAGATGGACAAAAGAGGAAAAAGTCTCTGAGAAGGAAGCTGGACTCCCTCGGAAAAGAAAAGAGCAAGGACAAAGGTGAGTTCTCCAAACACACTCAGGTTTCGGTCGATGGTGTGTTTTTGTCATCGCTCTCCTTTTTGCTGTGCTGATGTGAGACAAAGGGCCAGTTTAGCGTCTCCACCCCTCAGGCAGGTTAATAGTGAGGCTGTAAAAACAGAATCTGTTTACTGGCTTTGGGAGTTTATATATAGCTTAAGTAGGACTTCTTGTTAGGGGGGACTGGCTATGAAAGGTAACCACTGTACTGCTCAAAGCAAAGCAAGTTTTTGAGAAGAAAATGGGATTTATATTTTAAATGGGGGTTTTGTGGAGAGTGTATGAACAGTTACTATCTTATCTGTTGTAGATAGCTCTTTAAACAACCTCAGTTTGAAAAGATAGTTTATACTTGACTAGATCAACAACAAAAACAACACAAACAAGCGAGCACTGTCATTTAGACCTTTATAAATGCTAAATGGGTTGTACTTATATAGCGCCTCTACCGTATTTTATAAGTCGCATCAGTCCAAATATGTCTAATAAAGTGGAAAAAAACAAATACGTCACTTCGCTGTATAAGTTGCATCTATTATGCGTCACCGCTGACCACCCAGAAAAGTGGGCCGGTGTTGTGCCAAAAATCGATTGGCTGCCAAAATGGCGGCTGCGGAAACGTGCACGGGAGGACTTCAACAAGAATTTAACAGGATACAATGATTTGTTTGCTCCACATTATAGTAAAGGTGTGTCCCAGTTGAAGCTGATTTGACGTTTGCTCCAGGAGTTCCGGAGCGAGACGAAGGTGGCTCTATATGGCAAGCCAAGTGTCTCATTAATAGCCACTTTTACTTATTTATAAGACAATTGGCTTGCCATATTACTTGAGGGCCCTCTAGCGGCTGCAGGTGGTAGTGTTCAATATTTTCCATGTCAGAATGAATGAAATTGTCAGATCTCAGCCAAAAATTGGGTTATAAATATGGGGAAACGTATATTTGTCGCTTCTCAGGAGTTGCAAATTTATGCAAAAAGACGCGACTTATGTGGCGAAAAATACGGTAATCAAGACACTCAAAGCTCTTTACAACAAAATCTGGGCCCTGAACCTAAAACACATATATTCATACAGCACTCTGCTACATCTCTATAAAGATGATGTGAATGTGTAGAGACTCATTCATGCACTCATGGGACACACATCGGACGCAGTGAGGGGTTCAGTGTCTTGCCCAGGGACACTTCAGCATGTGGCTGCTGGTGGAATCGAACCCCCAACTCTCCCATTGGAGGACGACTGCTCTAACCAGTGAGCCGCAGCTGCCCACTATATACTGTACTACTGTGCATTTAGCTTTCCATGGTTATTCATGACATTTTTTAATTATTTTGCAGCAGCAAATAAGACTTCCTGTGCATCCTGGGGTACTTCCTGCAGAATTTTCCAAATATTAACTTTTACAAAACAGTCAAGGATACATTTTCCACAATGCAACTCAGAGTAAATTTTACCTCACCACTCCTACAGCGGGGAACCGTCAGGGCCTTCTACACCTTCAAAGAAGGCTCATAAATTAAGCACAGATGAAATATTACATTTAACGTTTTGCTTAATGTTTTACATAAAATATCTACTGTATTTTTTGGACTATAAGGCACACTTAAAAACCTTTAATTTTCTCAAAAATCAACAGTGAGCCTTATAATCCAGTGCACTTTATGTATTAATTCTGGTTGTGCTTACTGACCTCGAACCGATTTTATGTGGTACACAGCGCTCAAAAATCTGTCAAAATGTGGATGCCTCCTCTCCCTCTCCTGTTCTTCTCCTGCTTTTTTTTGCCCTCTGTCCTGTGTATCGGAGCTCCTATTTTATACATCTTCCGAATCGAAAACAACTGTCATGGATCAGGTCAGCTGGACTTTCAACACAATCGACAAAATCGTTTCAACAAAGCGACAGGGTCCTGGAGAGCCCACATGCCCCGCTGAGACTCACGCGGCAGGATATGTCATGGATCCGTGGGGAGGTTTGGAGCCGATGTGTCTTTATGTTTTGTCTCAGGAGGACGCCAAAGACGTTTATATAATTGGGCTCGTGATAGCAGGGTTTCTGCTTTCTGGCATCGGCGGATTCCTATGTTATCAGCTATTAAGGAAGATGGCGGCAGCAGTTTCGGCCATGGCAAAACTGCAGAATCTGTGTGAAGGTTTGGTTTGTGTTTTGAGTGCTCAAAATCAGCTGATTTATGAGCTAAACTGTAAAATGCAAGCGATTTGTGAGAATCGCAGGCCACCTGAGGCTTCTGGGAATTGCCAGCATGTTGGGGACGAACTTGGGAGGGGGCTTGTAAGCACGGACCAGTGGAATGCCCATTAATCTGGCCATTTTGGATCTTGAAAGTACTAGCAGGACTCAAGGCTGACAAGAAAAAACAGTCTGCCTGAAAAAAAAAAAATCAACAATTCTGGCTTATTTGAATCGGACTCCCCTGGTTGGCCTTGAAAACTTGCTGACATCCAATTTCTCCTGGGATATGTGTAAACTAAGGAAAAGCTTCGGCTGTCACACCCTGCCCCCCTCGAGAACTTTGGTGAAGGCTTGGTGAAAGCTCAGATAGCTTCATTATATATCTCACACTAACATAATTACTGTTTATTATTATTAAACTTATTATTTAGCACATTTAAGTATGTTATAGTGCAGCGCAACGTGTAAAATATCCGCCTGCCTCATTCTATAAACAGCGATATTAGAAATGGATCAGACTGTGTATCTTCCAACACAGATGTCGGTCACAGCAGCTCGATTCAGACGTAGATTAACTACGAGATTAAAAATATATTCCATCAATCGTAGTTCAGAAAGCAGTGTGTCCGCCGCCATGTTGATAGAAATATGCTGTCTGTCAGTGCACGTGTGTGCGCATGTGATTTAAAACAAAGCCTCAGCGGGAGATGTTTATGTTATCAGCAGGCGGTCAGCCAAAAACCTCCACTCTGAGAGGTGGGTTGAGAATACTCCGGATTCGGGTGTGTAAATGAACAGCAGAACCGTAGAGAGAAAGTTGCGGTTTCACTCAAAACACGCGGCGTGTAAAATAAGTTTTTATTTTTGAATGGAGGGCCGCGGGCCGGACAGGGATGCCCAACAGTCCGTATCTGGCCCGCGGGCCTTAAAATGCCCAGGTCTGCTCTATTGCATGCCTCGTGTCTTTCTTTAAGTGAAAAATGTTCATCACCAAAACAAGTCTACAGCTTAGGTTTCTGCAAAATCACCACAAGCAATACGTTTTTCAATTGTCTGCGTGTTTGAGGCTAAACTGAGCCCCCTTCGAAGAAAAAGACAGGACTGGGAACTCCAAGAGAAAATTAAATATAGGTACATCTGATCCTTTTGAGCTATGGAGGGGAAGCTGTTTCTTTTGGTGATCTCTTGGTCAAGTTTTATGAACGGTGAGATAACTGCTGCACATATGTGCTCATTTTGAACAGGGGTCTGAATGAAAAGACCCATGCTTTGAAGATAGGCCTTGATAATGGGAATCACAGAAATCCTCTGATACATGTGCAATCTCAATTAAAGGGGTTTGGCTGTGAATTAATCTGTGAAACACTACATGTTACACTGCAAAGCCATCGGAATTACATTTAGGATGAATGCATATGTCTGTGTATGTGTGTGTGTCTTTGTTTATATAACCTTGTAAGGCTCATTTTTCCAACTTATACTACAATGTGAGGACCAACTGCTCCTTATGGGGCCCAAAGTCTGGGTCCCATAACGACATGTGCTGTTGGTGGGTTAGAGGTTAGGTTTAAGACTAAGGTGTGAATTGAGGATAGGTTAGGTGTGTACTGGTAATGGTTAGGTATTTACTGGTAATGGTTAAGTTTAGGGTTAGATATGTACTGGTAATATTTAGGTTTAGGGTTAAATATGTACTAGTAATGGTTAGGTTTAGGGTTAGATATGTACTGGTAATGGTTAGGTTTAGGGTTAGATATGTACTGTAATGGTTAGGTTTAGAGATGATATGTACTGGAAATGGTTAGGTTTAGGGTTAGATATGTACTGGTAATGGTTAGGTTTAGGGTTAGATATGTACTGGTAACGGTTAGGTTTAGATATGTACTGTAATGGTTAGGTTTAGGGTTAGATATGTACTATAATGGTTAGGTTTAGGGATGATATGTACAGTAATGGTTAGGTTTAGGGTTAGATATGTACTGTAATGGTTAGGTTTAGGGTTAGATATGTACTGTAATGGTTAGGTTTAGGGTTAGGTATGTACTGTAATGGTTAGGTTTAGGGATGAAATGTACTGGAAATGGTTAGGTTTAGGGTTAGATATGTACTGGTAATGGTTAGGTTTAGGGTTAGATATGTACTGGTAATGGTTAGGTTTAGGGTTAGCTATGTACTGGTAATGGTTAGGTTTAGGGTTAGATATGTACTGGTACTGGTTAGGTTTAGGGTTAGATATGTATAGGTAATGGTTACGTTTAGGGATAGATATGTACTGGT